GCCCGAGGTGAATGGAGATTCAGTTTGCTGCACCAGGGTATCCATTGTAACTGAGGCCTTTCTCCTCACAGCCTCTTTCATGTGGCTGAACTCTTGTCGAATATCTTTGAAGCATTGTTCCCACTACTGCTCTCTTCTTTCCTACTAATAGGGGAAGAAANAGGGTATCCATTGTAACTGAGGCCTTTCTCCTCACAGCCTCTTTCATGTGGCTGAATTCTTGTCGAATATCTTTGAAGCATTGTTCCCACTACTGCTCTCTTCTTTCCTACTAATAGGGGAAGAAATCATTCCCTTCGACCCCATCATTTTGACTCTGCACTTCTTCATTGTGGCCATTCTTGGTGGGTAGGTAGGGAACCTGCCCCATGGTCTGACTGTTTTCTCCTCTTTCACTAACTTCTCTGAGGGGGTCGAGGTGTTGTTGCTCTTTGTTAGGGGGGTTATTCTGGCCTTCCTGGGCCGGTCGTGCCTCTTGAGGGCGTTGGAAGAGCTTTAGGAGTTCCTCATTCTGTTATAGCAAACGTTGATTGGCTAAGCGAAGGGCCTCCAACTCATTATTTGTGGAGGGATTCCCCATGGGAGGATTATCCTCTGCTGCAGGGTAGAAACCTGGGACATTCTAGGGTTGTCTGCCATTAGTAGCTTCCTGTTGGTCATACAGTCGTGGTTGATTTGTTTGGCTTTTGCTCATGTTGCGAGTTGAGACCATCAATCACTAAAAGATCAGTGTATTTGTAACAGAAAAGGTCGTTTCTCATAGACGGTGCCAAACTGATGGAGTAAATCGATTCGAATGAGCAGAAGGAAGAAATTATACTTGGCAGCTTAGATCTAAGCTTCAAGGCTCGAGGGGATCGTGATAAAGAATTTTTTCTTAGGCGTCAGAGGTGATTTGCACAATGAAAATATAGTGGTTCACCAGCTCCGGAGTTCAGCTAATCCACCCTTTAATGGAGGCTCTTGCTCCTTTTGTTTTAATGGTGAGGAATAGAATTTACAGTGTGCTTTCTCACGCAACTAGGGTTTCTTACCTCATCTTGGAGGCATTGTACAGTATATATAGTATAACTTTTATCCCTAAAGGACCTGCAGCGAGATCCTTACTCTTCAACCACAAGATTTTCCTTGATTTTAGGAGAGGACCTTGGATGGTTGAGAGTCTCACGCCTTGATCCCTGCTCTTTTGCTACTATGTGGACTCTTCTTATTGACCAGCTATTATTTCCTTGACTTTTCTAATATTTTATCCGAGAGGGGATCGGGACTGGGGCTTTAGAGGTCTGAGCTCCCCTATCTGACCTCGCTTCCCAAGCTTATACTTGGTTAAAATTCTTTCTCATGTATCGTCAAATTGAAACCTAACCTTAAATAATTATAAATTCATATCCAAGGGTAGTAATTTTACCATAAATAGTTATAACCTCACTTTCAAAGATTGTAATTTTATTTTTAATTGTTATAATCTTAAGAGTTTGTACCTCACTTTTAAAGGTGATAACTTTATCTCAAAAGTAATAACTTTGTCTTTTCAAATAATAACATTACATTTAATAGTAATGATCGATCATGATTAATTAAGATCGATCTCAATGTCAATAGTTGTNTTTATTTTTAATTGTTATAATCTTAAGAGTTTGTACCTCACTTTTAAAGGTGATAATTTTATCTCAAAAGTAATAACTTTGTCTTTTCAAGTAATAACATTACATTTAATAGTAATGATCGATCATGATTAATTAAGATTGATCTCAATGTCAATAGTTTTTTTTTTTTTTGCGATTTCACTCAATTAGGATCGATCATGATTAATTAAGATCAATCTCAATGCCAATAGTTTTTTTTTTTTTGCGATTCCACTCAATTAGGATCGATCATGATTAATTAAGATCGATCTCAATGTCAAATTTTTTTTTTGCGATTTCACTCAATTAGGATCGATTATGACTATATGAGATCGATCTTTATGTATTTGATGGTCCAAAAATTGGGACCAAACTAAATTTCTGGCGGTTCCAATTAAATAGGATCGATCACGACTAGCTGAACTTTTTTTTTTCTTTTGCTGAACTGGTCTCGTTCCTATATTTAGTTACATTGAATTAACATGTAATTTCAAAAAATTAATTAACATTTTATGAATTAATTTTAATCTTATGAATGTTAAATTAACATGATCGATCCTAATTGAGTGAAATTACAAAAAGAAAATTGGCATTGAGATCGATCTTAATTAATCATGATCGATCCTAATTGAGTAGACTCGCAAAAAAAAAAAAAAAAATTGGCATCGAGATCGATCTAAATTAATCATGGTCGATCATGACTGTTAAATGTAATGTTATTATTGCAAGACAAAATTATTACTCTTAAGATAAAACTATCACCTTTAAATGTGAGGTACAAACTATTTAGATAAGATTACAACAATTAAAAGTAAAATTACAATATTTGAAAATGAAGTTATAATTATTTATGGTGAAATTACTACATTTGAATATGAAGTTATAAATATTTAACATTAGATTACAATTATTAAAAATAAAAGTACCACCAAAAAATGGCGATTGAGATTACAATTTTTGGAAAAGATAGTACAACTTTTATCCACAAAGTTATCACACATTTAATGAATAATTTTTTAATATTTAATGCGAAAAATTGAGAAACACTCATTTTATTTAGTACCGTACAAAAAAAAGTGTGGGCGGTACCATAGTCTTCGCCTGTTAATATTGGTACAGAAGTGTTTCCGAATCCTTAAATTGGTCTTGCTTGCGGCGTCCCAAGACATGCCCCGTAGGCATAGCTTATGTGGCATCCATAAAACGTTCAACCTTGAATGGGAAACCCATACACGGCCTTTGAAGTTAAAAATCAAAAGATTAATACAATATGAATTTAAAAATTCAATAATGTTAGATTGATCAAATTTTAAAATTAAATTTAAAATTTAAATGACATGACAGTTAACTTGAATTTTTTTGATTGACATGATGTCATTTGGGCCCCATTAAAAACTTTAAATAATCAACTTTCATGTCATTTGAGCTTTAAATTTGATCATAAAATTTGATCAGTATAACATTATTCTTAAAAATTAGACTTAAAAATTTTAATTATTGAATAAATAATAAGTATCAATAAATACTGAGACTCACAATAAAATTAATGATTGACATTATAAAATTTAATTTTTAAATTCATGTAATATTATTCAAATCAAAATCGCAAAAATAGTAATAGAAAAATAGATTCTTGTGTTGACTGGTTATGCTATTCTAGAGAGAGAGAGAGAGAGAGAGAGAGAGAGAGAGAGAGAGAGAGAGAGAGAGAG